AAGTAAATAAAAATAAAAGGGCCACCAAATGCAGGTGAGGGGGGTATAGAGAAAGGTCTTGGGCTCACATTCAGGATCATCCAGCCTGTGTCCTTCAATACAAAAGCTAACATTTATTATTAAACATCAACCATGTGTTTAATAACTTTACACATATTAACTCAATCTTTATCACAATGCTATTAGGCGGGTACTATTAATATTTCCATTTTATACATCAGAAAATGGAAACTTAAGTAACTTGCTAGAAATCACATGGGTAGAAAATAACAAAGTCAGGATTTGAATCCAGAAGGTGTATGTTCAAAATCAAGACATCACAACTATTAATCACTGCCTGGGATTACACCAACTAAATTGTGATCACAATTCCCAATGCTATTGAAAGGGAACTCACTCTGAAGCGCTCACAGAGAGGAATTGTGAATGGAAAGAAAATGGACTGCACAACTGAAAATGGAGTGCACAACTCAGAACATAGGACAGTTTCAGGTGCTTTACTTACTGCGTGCCAGGTGGACCCAGCTGTGAGCTCCGATTTCTCCAGCAGGACCACATCTTTCATCCCCGCTTTGGCCAAGTGATAAGCCAGACTCACACCAATACAGCCACCTCCAATTATCACTGTTTCTGCTCTGTCTTTCCATTTTGTTTCTGTAGGTAAGGGTGGCTTTTCCTCTCTGGAAGACAATTTTTTTTAATGGTAACTTTAGTTGGCTGTGATAAGTACAGTTTAGGTCTAATGCATTTCCCCTTACCCGTTTCTCTAGTACTTAATGGCTAGTGATTGTGAGGTTTGCATGGTGCTGATTTAATAATTTGGGACTTCTAAACACTGACTTAGCCAACCTGGTTGGGGAAGGGGGGGCATTTGAACCCCATTCCATATAATGGTTCTTGTCCATTGTAGGTAACTAATATTGCCAAAGAAATAAACAAGTAGTTTATTTTTTTCCCAAAGAATCTAGAAAATATTTTTTCTTATTTAAAGAACACATTTATAGTCATTTTATTCCATGAAAAACCATAATCATCATGAAGTTTAGCTCCCATAAATCGTGGATCATTTCCTCTCTCCAATGCTCTCCAGGCTGAAGAGAGCCAGATGGAGCAAAATGTTCTCCCTTGCTTGACTTCCTCTCACTGTGTACACACTTCTTCATTTATAATTACTTCTCACTGGTTAATGTATTTATTTGCATGATTGTCTTCCTAGCTGGACAGTGAGCATCTTGAAGGCAGGGACAATGTCTATTCATCACTGATCCTCAGCATCTGCACAGTGCCCACATCTAGTATGCGTGTGGAATGAATAGATTTGATAATTATCATGGTCGACCCTCGACCCTCTATTGATCATATTTTTCCTACATAAGTCCCCCAAAGAATGCAATTCTAGAAAAGGTAGTTCTCATTAGGATAGGGGGATTTGTTAATTATTTCCACAGGTTATACTTCTAACACATACATTTCATTCATTCATTCTTCCCTATTTGTTCATCAGGTATTTCCTGAGTTCGTGCCATGAACAGGGCACTATGATACATAGCAAAGATGAGCCAAAATAGACATTATGTCTACTCTCTGAAGCTTACAACATAACAGAGGAGAGATCAATCAAGTAAGAAAATAAATGTGTGAATTACAACAATGAAGTTGCTGTGACAGAGTAATAAAGTATTCTATGAGAGTATGTATGCAGGAAGGCTGCTGATTTGAGGTCTGAAGGATGAGGAAGAATTAAGCAAGATGAGGAAGAATATTCCAGGCCGTGGGGGCAGTTATGTGGCAGGACAGCACAGGGAGAGTCCAGGGCACTGAACGGCCACAGAGACCAGAGTGTGGAGTCAAAGTTATGCTAGAAGGGCTCCCAAGGGAGCCCCTTACCTCTCTTTTGGTCTATTGGTTCATTGCTGTATGTTGAACACCTGAAATAATAGGTACTCAATAATGTTGACTATATTAATGAATAGTATGCTTTTATTACCCAATTATTACTATTTTCCTTTTTCCTGGTCACTATTTCTTTTCTTACATTAATTTCCAACTTAGAGATTCACAATATGAATTACCAAGAATTCTGGGAAGATTCCCCATATTATATCTTGTTAACACAAAAGTCTAAAAATTGTAATTTTGAGGATAAGTTTTAAACTGAGAAAAAGATCAAATAGAAACTTTCCCCAGAACTCACATAATAACACTAATTAAATAACCTATTTTATTACTCTTTATTTGGAAGGAGATAATATATTTATCTGATGAAGATAACAATGCTAAACAATTTCGATATCTAAATTCTAAGCTGCCTTCAAAGTTCATCTAGACTCAAGACATATTTTCTTTATTGGTTTAACCAATTTGGGGAGTAACTTTCTATTTTGATATAATTTTAAACTCACAGAAAAGTTGCAAGAATTGTACAAGGAACTCTTAGAATACTTAAATGGGAAGTGATATCTGCAATCTACTCTTAAATATTTCATATATATATATATACATATAATCATAATTTTAAAGGCTCTTTTTTGTGCATTGAAAAGAAAGAATATTATTTCTTTTAGGACAGTGGTTGGGTGAAACAAAAAGAATAATGAACTTAAGATCAGGAAACCTGAGTCTCAGTCTCCAATTTAATTGAATTGCTATTTTAGGGAAATTTAGACAAGGGTCCCCAAATTTTCTCATCTGCAAAATGGGGCTGTGAAGGTTCTATTTGGCAACATATGATAAAACATTATGAAAAGTATAGCATTTCTTCTGCCCAATGTGCCATAATGGGTTCCAGACTAGGTATAGGATTTTTAATCATGTGGATAGGTATCTCAAATTTCTTCTGGAAGTAGTCAGATGGCCACAAAGTTAATTGAAATCAAATAAAGTAAGAGCCATGCAAAAAACCGAGGTTACCTATCTTCTATATTAGCAATGGAAATTTTAAAATTGTGTGCTTTTCCAAGTGCTTTCCAGAATAAAACTTTTTGATAGTTTGGGATTGGATATATAAGGAATATGCAATAGAAATAAAATAATTTGAATTTTGATTTGTTCAATATAGAGCTATACATTGATAGATGAATAATGCAAAATATTTTTGTGGGTAGTCTTGAAGTTTGCATTTTATTTGTCTAATCAGTTTTAAATAGGTCAACTCAAGTTTTGTAAATTTCTATTTCATTTTGCATTGATAAAGTAAGTCCCATTATTACTATGAATATTTTTGTGATGCTATACAGTTTACAAGGCACTTTCACATGCATTCTTTTATTTAATACTTTCAGCAACCCTGTGAGATAGGCAGAGCAAATATTAGTGTCCCCATTTTATAGCCTGGGAAACTGAAACTCAGAAGTGTAAAGTCACACCCTGTGTAGCTGGTGGAGCAGAAATTGTGACTTTGTGGCTATTATATTCCCAGCACCAGGGACAAGCCTAGCACATCACAAACACCAGGTAAATATTTGTTGAAAGAAGGAAAGGATGGATGGATGGAACTTGAAAACAAGTATTCTGATTCCAGAATTTCACATCAGAGTAAAATAAAAGTTGAGTAACTCATAATCATGTTGAATGATGCGAGTGAACAGAGCTTACCTTGCAGCCACGAATAACCTCCAAATACAAGGAAGTCAAAATATGCTCTGCATTGCTCATATTTGAACACAGGCCAATTAAACAAGAAAATGCAATTTTTACCTACCAAATTTAGCAAAGATAAAAAAAAAATTTGCTACTCTAGGAACCAGGGATGATGTGGGAAACAGACACACACTGGTGGGTGGCATGCAGACTCTTCCCACCCACTTGAAGGATAATTTGTTGCTACCTTTCAATCTCTCAAGTGCTCATAACCCTTTCCCTAGCAGTTTCACTTTTAAAAATTTATTCTATAGACACATTCCCATACTTGTGCAAAGATATATTCATAAGAATTTCCACATGCACAGTATTTGCAGTAATAAACAACTGGAAACGATCTAAATGTTAATGAACAGACCGCTTAATTATATTGTAGGATATTAACAGCATGGAAAATTATGCAGCCATTGAAAAGAATAAGGCAAATCAATATGTGCTTATATGGAACAATCTCCAAGATGTATTGATAACTGTAAAAAGCAAGGTGGAAGTAAGCCAAAGAGACGCGTACATACATGCCTACACACAGACCATCTCCCGATAGATAGGGAAGACACTATTGACAGTTGTTGACTGGGCAAGGGGCTGGGACAGGAGGGACTTTGCGCGGGGAACCTTTAGATACTGTTTCACTTTGTAATGAATAGGCAATTCAAGAAGAAACCCCAAGGCGCACTTCCAGGTGGCCAAAGAGCTCCTAACCCGGGAGGCTGCCTCAGCCGCTCGCTCCCACCCTGTCGCCGCCCGGCCGCAGCTTCAGCGCAGTCCGGGGTCCCACTCACCCTTCCCGGCCGCCGACCGAGACCGAGCGCGGGCGCCCGGGGGAGGTCCCCGGGGAGCAGCTCCGCAGCGGGACGCCCCGCAGCAGCCTCGCGCCCAGGCGGAACATGACGAGGCCCAGGCTGAGGTCGAGGGCGCCGGCACCTGCCGCTCGGCCAGC